AATCTCAAGCCATGGTGTAAGATTGTGATAGAGATACCTCATGAGCAACTCTTTATACCTCTCCCATACCTCATATAGAGGTTCGAACTCTTGTTGGGAGAAAGTAGTAATATTGTTCTTCATTTTTGCTATCTTCATAAGGGGAAGAACTTTGTCATGAATTTATGCGCCAGATTATCCTATGTGGTGATTGATCTAGAAGGCATAGAGGTAAGCTAGCTTTTAGCCCTATCTTTTAAGGAAAATGGAAACAACTTAAGATGAATGGCATCTTTGGAAATGCCATTATGCTTAAAGGTGTCATAAAATTCAAGGAAGTTCCCAAGATGGGTGTTTAGGTCCTCACTAGCTAAACCCCTAAATTGGACAGACCTTTGGATCATCTGGATGATGGCAAGCTTAATTTCAGAAGTATTTGCTTGGATTACTAGCCTTCTAATACTAGCTTGGTATCCATCAATGTTGGGCACCTCATAATTTCGTAAAGTTCTATGATTAGGTGGGTTGGCCATAGGTTGTTCAAGGGTAAGGTTGCCAAATCTTTATTTTTAAGGTTTTTAAGAGTCTTTTCTATTTTTGGGTCCAAAGGTAGAAGATTATGACTTCTAGACCTACGCATGTACCTACCATGAGGTTACAAGGCAATAGAGAAAAACACGAAAAATTAAAAAATTAAAAAAAATATTTACAAAAATAATTACAAAAATACTAGATTACACCCTAACATGTCTCTATCGACATTAACCCTAGCCTAAATGCACCAGATCCCCAGCAATAGCACCAAAAACTTGTTGCTAACTATTAGGAGTACCGTAAGTGTACAAGGTCATAAAAGTAATAAAGATAGGAAGTATTCCAGCTATCATCTTCTTAAGGATCTAGAAGTTCTAAACCTAGGGGTAATTATCAATTTCAACCTTTTGGGTATATTTAGTCATACAAAATTTTTCTTCTTTTAAAGATCTAATTAACCTAAGGTTAACTAATAGAATTACCAGATTATTAAGATCTAAATTTAACTACAAATTATGGAGGTTAAAGTTCTCCAAGGAAAATTACTAAAAAAAAAAATAATTTCCTAAAATGGTAGGTTACTAAAAATGAAAAGTAGCAAAATTGAAAATTAAATTAAACATAATTCAAAGCATTATTTAAATTTGAAATTTAAGAGTAGAGGGATGGTTAACATAACCTGGACTTAGCAATAAAAAGTGAAATTAACCTAACAAAATAAAAAAGTATAATTAGCATTTTAATTTAAAAATGAACTTACTTAAAAATCCTAATCTGGCCTAGAATGTATGAAATGTATGGAATAAAAATTAAACATGAAAATAGCATGGAAATGCATGGAATCTTAAAAATAAAAATTAAAGGTTACCTAAAAGCTAAAATAAAATCCTAAATGAAATGGCCATCAATTTTCATTGAGGCATTTCATCAAACACCTAGTATACTATATGCAAACTCCTCAATTAACTAACCTAAATCCTAAGACATACAACCAGAATTAAATCTAAGTTAATGAAAATGACAAATAAAAAATGTAGAATAACACATAAAATAAATAAAAATTACTAAACACATTAATTAGAACTAAAATGCAACCTAGCCTACTTTACCAAATGAAAATAATCTAAATCTATATGATACTGTAAAAACTAATTGAACTAAATAAAAATAGACCTAAAAATGATGTATGAAAAAAGGTTTGAAGATAAACCAAAATTACAAAAATTTAAAGTGCAAAACCAAATCAAAAAATGTACACTACATGCAACCAATGGCCTAAAATGCTATTAAAATTTGACCTTACCTGAGGAATTTGCAAAAACTGCTTTCCTACCTTAAAATAGACTAAAAAATGAACTAAAAAGATGAATGTGACCTTTCATTAAAATAGAACACAAAATGAAAAAAATTAAATGCAAACCAAAATATTAGAATGCGTGGACACTAAGACCTATCAACCAAAATGCTCAGCAAATGTAATCCTACCTAAGGAGTTTACAAAAACTGTTTTAACATCTTAAAATAGACTTGAAAACAAGCAAAAAAGGTGTAGGAAAGCTTTGCCTAAAATTGACCAGAAAATGAATAAAATAATGTTCAAACCAAAAGCAAAATAAATGCTACCAAAATAATAATAAAAAAATGCACATATGTAACATGAAATCTAAGCCTAGAATCTTAAAATAGACATGAAATTGAACAAAAAATATGCAACGAAACTTCATCAAAACACAACCAAAACAAGTTGAGAAACTAGGTTTAAAAATGATAATCAAAATGCATGGAAATACTTGAAAGCAAAAACCATAACAAAGTTATTTTAGCAAGCATGTAACAAACATCTAATAACCAACATTTTCATCCACTTAAAGTCACAAAAACATAATGTAAAAAAATAACAAAAAACCCATAAAATAGAACATAAAACCAAAATAAAACTAGGCAAAAAATATCACAATGCAACAAAACATGAAATGAAATTAAAATGGAATAATCAAGTCTCTTAAGCCCCGATGGGAAATTCCTCAAGCAAAGGCCACCTTAGACAATCCTTTTTTTTTTGTAACCAAAAGCTCAAAGATGAAGCAAAGTAAAACTAGAAATGAGAGGAACTAAGGCATAAAATCATAAAAATCAAACCTGGGAAAAACCGAATATGAAAGATAAAATTTCATTCCAAAACGTCAAAAACGAGAGCCAAATGTAAAATTCTAAGTTTTTTGCCAAAAGTCCCCCAAAGCATACGTAAAGCTCCTCTTAAATACATCTGAACAAGATGAAAATTATCCCCTAAAAGTCAAGGCAAGATCCACAAAGGGTAGCTTGCCAATGACATTAGAATAGGAAAATGGAAGAAGAAAAAAAATGCTACAAGCAATAACATGTTCGGCCATCCCTTTTGTATCCTCATAGTGTCCTATTTTTCAGCCCAATCCTAGGTCCTTTCTCTGTCCATAAATGATTTCTTGAGCCATACAAACCAACAGCCATGCTTGGCTTTTATTTTTCATTGTGTTCTCACTTATTGACTTGCAATTTGTTTTCTTTGCTCTCTCTTTCTTTATCGATTCTCCTTGGTCAAATTTGCTTGATTATTGGCTTGCTTTTTATCATCAATTTAGCTCTAACTTAGCTCCTTCAAATTAGCTTGTACAGTAGCTCATTTCAAGCAAGCCAACTTATGCAAGAAAGGAAAGCTCCACATGCCTTTGTTGGTGCTCACGGCTTAGGGCTTCATGGTCATGGCTTGGCATTTTTTTTCTTTTTCTTCATGGCTCCATTTTCTCATGGGAATCAACTCTCCTCATTTCCTAAGGGCTTTTGATTTGCCTTGGCAAATTTCCCACTGGGTTCGGCCATTGCTTGCATGATGACACTTGGTGCAGGCATGGTGTTTGAATTTGTTTTCTACACATGAAATTTGAAGAATTTAGGTGGATAATCAAGTAAAATTAAATCAAGTAACTTAAAATTTAACCAACTAAGTACACAATAATTGTAAAAAAATAGAATTATCACATGGTCAACATAATCACTTAGGAGTAAATAGTTTGTTGTATGAGGATAACCTCCATACTTAAACAACCATAGAAAATTTGAAAATCGACCATGAACATCTCCTGCAAAACTAATACGAAAGGAAAAACAGAATTATTACATTCTCAATTTGCTAAAACTTGCTAAACTAATAGGAATTGAAATATATACATGCAAGCCAACACATGCACACTAAGTTTATATACGTGCAAGTTAGCATATGCGCACTAAGCCTGTATGTGATATAGTTAACGAGGATCAAGTTTGAATTGTAATAACGTAAGCTAAACTCAACTTGGAGAAGTCTAAGTCTCTTTAAGGCCAAAAAGTTACCACATAAACACCTATTTCATAACTTTTAAATTAAATTCTTAGGGTGCCAAATTGCCAATGCTAGTATCCTATTAATTTTTTCTTACATCAAAGAAAAGAAACAAAAACATAAATAAATGAAATATTCAATGGCTAATAATAATGAGAGAAGATTGACGCAAAATGATCTAAAATTTGACATCAGGTTAGTTATCAAATGTTTTGGGCGTTGCAATTTTAAATAGCCATTAAGAAAATAATTAGCAATAGATTATTTAGTACTAAAATTTCTAAGAGTTTGTCAGTCCTTCAATAACTAGTCTTGCAACAGCAATTGGAGAATGTCAAAGAATTGAATTCATCCTAAATTACTTATTTGAGGTCCTTACTCCTTAGTAATAAATTTGATATTTTTGCTTTGAAAATACCTTAAACATTAACTTGGGACCCAAAAACTTTCTTATATATGCAAATTTCTCTTAATGCTATGGTAAACTAGGTCATAATAGGCCCTAAAAAAAGAGAAAAAAAGGTTAAATTATTGCTATGGTGCCATAAAAATCATACTCAAGCTAGAATATAATCTTCCTGTGATGTCGAGCTAAAAAACAAAATGAGAAAGTAAGAAAGCTTTTACTACAAGAAAATAGGGATATGGTGGCACTTTTTTAATGGTATTTATTAACAAATGCCATTAAGTTTCATGTTTTTTAAAAGTTAGCTTTGTTTATATTATAAGTGCTACTAAATTTTCATTTTGCGGCGTTTATATATAAAAATATCACTAATTTATGAATTTAGCTGCATTTATATTATAAAATATTGCTAACTAATTTTTAAAATTTAATAAAATAAAAATATCTTTTCTTTAAAAATTAGTCAAAACTTTTTAATATTATTTGGTGATATTTATTAATACAAACATCACTAAATATTATGATTTTAGTGACATTTTTTGCGACAAATACCGTCAAATTATTTGTAAAAAACAGTGGATAATTTTATGATTATTTAGTGACATTTATTAGAATGAACGCCGCTATTGTGAAAATTTTAATGGCATTTGTTCTGACCAGTGCGGTTAATTTATCTATAAATTCAAGTCGAGAACAAACCCTCTTCTGCCCAAAACTCTGCAATTAAGGTTTTTCTTTTGTGAAACCTGTACCTCTTTCTACCCAGCTCTCATCTTTCACTGTCACTTTCGATTGAAGCTTACTCTTGCATTTTTTTTTCTCCTTTTTCATTCGGCACTGGACCTTTCCCATTCGATTTCATTCTCAGCTGGTGGGTTGCACCTCAGTGTCCTGCACCATTTGGCCTCTCATTCGCTGCCGTTAGGACTCTCCTCTACATTGATTTCCTTCATTGGTAAGGCCTTTCCTTCGGTTTCCTTTCACTAATTTATAAGTTTAGTGTTGCCAGCTTCTTCCTTAATTAGAGAATGATTCCTGTTGCATCTAGATATGTTCTGAAACATGGTTTATTTGGATTTGATATCAACAAGAAAGGAACCCCTCAAGGCACTATTAAAGTGTAAGTTTAAAGCTTTTTGTTTTTTCTTATAAGAAAAATTTTAGGTTTTGATTGCTTTCGAATTTTTATGAACAAGGTATATTTTAATTTGCAATTTTGATTTGATTAGCTAAATTGGGTTTGGATTTTTATTAGCTTGCTTCATAAGGGTTATACGATGAATGATTTCTCCCAAATTTTCCTTTTTTTATTACAATCTTTTTTAATAATGTTCCTCTCTTTTGTTTTCTAAAAAAACCAAAACCAAAAACAAATAGATCGCTTTTAATGGCTTTTCTGCCCCTCTCAGGCAATAAGCAAGTACTGATATCTTTGTTAGACAAGAAGAACCTGGCCTTTCTTGTTACCGGCCTTCAAGAATTCGCGTAAGTAAATGACGCCTTTTTTTTTTTTTTGGGATATTGTCATATTTTATTTCTTTTACGGACTGTTATTGCTTAATCTTTGTTTTTTTTTTTTTAATCCTTTAATATTGGGTATTGAATAGTGCTAGAGGAAATTAGAAAGTAACTCTATGATACAATCAACATGATATGAAGACAAACTGACATGAATATGGCATCCTTTACATATTCAATTCTGTTCAAGAAAACTTTTTTATTTGGAGTTGTTACGGCCTGTGTTGTCAATATCAGTATAAAATGCAAAGCAGCAGTTTTGAAGCCTATTTAGTTTGAACTTGCTTTTTTGGAAACTATAGGTACACAATTGTTTCTAGTGGAGGAACTGCATCTGCCTTAGAAAATGCTGGTGTCTCTGTAACCAAAGTGGAGCAGCTTACGTGTTTCCCTGAAATGGTAATCTAGTTTTAATTTTGTGCTGTACTGTCCTGCTAAAATCTCTTTCTTTCTTTCTTTTTTTTTATTTTTTTTATTTTGGTTTCAGATTTCACGTCCTTTATTATAGTTTCTAGGACTATTTAAGGGAAGAAAGAATCAGACCGAAGTGATTTTGACATCCTCAATGATAACTTATAAAGCTTTTGCTGTTGCTGCTACTTGAGCATGTTTTATTTTTATCTTTTTTGCTAATAAACTTTCATTGCAAAATTAGATTAAACTTATCTTCTCTGTTAATGATTGATCACCATACTTTCCTAATGATTTGATGTCAATACTATTATGCCTTCTATTAACGGTTGATTTCAGCTTTAAAGCTGTTTGAGTTTGGAGATTAACTGTATTCTCTTTTATAGCTTGATGGTCGTTTGAAAACTTTGTATCCCAACATACGTGGTGGTATTCTTGCTAGAAGAGACCAGAAACATCACATGGAAGCTCTTAACAAGCATGGAATTGTTGAGTTTTAAACTTGTGGTGAAACATTTTTAAGGATAAGGGCCTTTTTCCCAGCTTTTTTTTTTTTGGGAAAAATACTTAAAAGGGCTAAATTTAAAAGGGCTAAATGGTTATAGCAACCATAAAAAAAAAGTAAAAAAAAATAAAAATTCAAGCTTTATTCCTTTTCATCAATTGAACTAGGTAATAGTACTATTTGTTCTCATTCTTACTTTTATTTTTGTTTGCATTCCTGCCATATTCCTTTGGTTAAACCAATCATAACATTAGCAAAAGCATACACTAGAATTTCTAGAGAATGCTTCTGGTAGGTGTTGAAGTAAAAAGGAGTACCATATAGATTTATCAATACTAGTTAAAAAGTATGAAAATGAATACCATATAGATTTATCAGTATTGATCCAATTTCTGGACATACTAGTTAAAAGCTATCATATTGATTTAAATGATATCAGTATTGATTTAATTATAGTAGTAAATATTAAAATAAATAAAAATAAAGTAAATTTCTTAATTTAAATGACCAAAATTAATGGCATTTTTTATAGAAATGTTGCTAAATTTTGTGACATTTTTCTTAAAAACATTATTAAATTTAATGACATTTGTAATTTTTCTAAAATGCTGTTATATTTTCTGACATAGATATATTCTATGCTTTTAATGAAATTTGTTTAGAGGCATTTATATATGCCCGTAAATGTTAAAAAAAAAAAACTGCTAAAATCCTCCTCTCCTACAGTGTTTTGGACATCTTATGAAACAACCCAACAATTATGACAATGGCAAGAATCATCAATGCAACAATAACAAGGCCACTACCATTTAAGATTGCCCTGTCACTTCAAGGTACATATGCATCAACCAATATTCGAGCAATTACGATAAACAGTTTTGGCACAAATATTGAAAAAAGCATACCATCGAAGGCCACACTAACAGGTCCATTATGCCCGTCACGAAACATTTCAAAAGGCACTTGCAAAACCAATGTACTTGTCATATCCTTCCCCAAGTCCTTCACTATAATAATAAAAAAAAATTATACAAATGAATATTTCACAAATTACTATAAAAAGATTATTCAATCAACAAAGAGCAGGCCTAGCATTTGATAAATCAAATCTCTCTCTTTTTTGGCTCTCCACGCTTCTCTCCTTTCCTTCTCCCTCCCCCTTTTTGTTGTAAAAATTGTTTCAAAAATGGGAAAAGAAATCAGATCCGACAAACGGATCTTCCTCCACCCTCGCTTCCTCTTTTTTTTTTTTCGCTTTCCAAATCTCTCTCTATATTTCCCTGCTCTATTGTTGCATGTTCCAATGTTTCCATCTCACCCCACCCATCGCTCTACCTTTGGCCCATCCATCCTTTTTTATTTTCAACCCACCTCTCTCTCGAAAATTCCCTACTTTATCCCTGCTCTTTCTTCTTCCAGTCTCTCAAAAGTTCTAATCTCAGTAGTCAACCTTTTATCTCTCTTTTCGGGATTTTTTTTTACAAACACAAAAGAAAAGATTTCTTGCATGCAATGTTCTCATACCTAATAAAGAGAAGAACTTCGAGCAAACAATAGATCCTGCAAAAAGAACAAAGTAATTAAAAGACATAAATTTGACTATACACTCTCAACAATCAACAAAAGCAAACAAAAATCACCCATAACAAGAAAACACTACAAATGCATGAAAGGAATTAAAGGAAACCTAAAAAACAAATCTAAAAGAATTAAGAGATGGACAAAGAAAAAAACAAAATTACAGATTGACAGAGCCGACGGAAAAAAAAAAAAAAAAGGAAGAAACACAGACTTTCTTGTTAAAATGAACAAACCATAGTTAAAATGGAATCATTTTTAATTCAATGTACAAAATTACCCCTTCACTTTTTTCTTTTTACATGGTTAAGCTATCCTTCAAAACAAAACGAGGACAACTTTTATGTTAAATTATAGATATTTATTTCAACATCCTTAGCCCAATACAACATTACTACTAATAGGTTGCAGTTAAATAATTTTTAAAATGAAATCCTTAAAGTGACATCTAATTAATCCACCAATAAAAAAAGCAAAGCAACCTGAACCCTTAATACAAAATAGAATTGATGAAAAAATCTAAAATAATAAAGTAAAAGAAAATCTATAAGTATTAAATAAAAGTTATTCTCTTCTCTAATTTTAGGAGACAAATATTAAAATAAACAAAAAAATTAAGGGATAATTTTGGAAAAGTCTTTTTTCATAAGCTTCTCCTAAACTTCAAGAAAATGCTTCTTTTTGTTGGGGGAAAAGCGCTTTCTCTAAAAGACAACCGAAAAAATTAAAAGAGAGAAAGAAGAGGAAAAAGAGAAAGGTAAAGAGAAGAAAGAAACTTGGTGTTTTTGTTGCTTCTCATTCTGATAGCTCCCTTCTATGTTTCTTTAAAAATGTTATCTTTAAGGTCCAAAAATAGTATCCACTCTTTCTCTCCAGTGAAGAAGAGGTTGATGAGAGACTTCAAGAAGCTACAACAAGATCCACCTACCGGTATTAGTGAGGTTGCTCAAGATAATAATATCATGCTTTGGAACGCTGTCATTTTTAGGTATTTCTCAATTTCTTCCTTTCTTTTTCTTTTTGATTTGACTATTTTTTAATTTTGGAATTTTTTTTCAGGCCCGATAATACTCATTGGGATGGAGGTCATTTTTTTTTTTTGTTTTGTTTTCTTTCACTTGAATTTTATAAATTTTTAGTCTTCTTTATTATGCTGTTGACATTTTCTTATGGGATTTTTGTCCGAGCTGTGAAATATAAGCTGTTAATTGTGTTACCTTTTTGGGTTTTAGGTGAAAATTAACGAATTGGTATCATTTTGTTGTTTCAATTCCTGCTGATTTAGTAATTTTGCCTTGAAATTTGAACTATTATGCATTTTTGGACATGCAAGCTTAAATCAATATGCATTGATACATGATTCAAGTGCACATGATTTTCTAAGTTGATGAAGGGGGAGTGCGATTGAATTTTTGTGTGATCTGTTTATTTAATTAATGAGGTTAATTTTATTTTTCTGCTTTACTTTTGTTTAAATCTATGATGAATATGAAATTAGAAAATAAAAAATTTTCTCCTTCTCACACTTTAAAAATTTTTTACATAGTGTCAATTTTTCTAGCTTCTTATAAATTCTTCCTCAATATGTTTTCTAATTATTCATTCTTTTTTTTTTAAGGTTCCTGGTGGCCTGGTCGAATTATGGGCCTTGATGACCTCTCTGAGGGTTGTTTGGTTTTTCTGAGATCTAGTAATCCTGTTAATCTTCTTGGTCGTGAAGATGCAGGCGTGTGAGTTCAATTTTTTTTAATCTTTTAGCCACTTTTTAGATTTTTTTGGCTAGGTTTAATAGCTTGCATTTCTGCTAATGATTCATTGTAGTAGTTTTCTTTTATTCAAGTTTATTTGTTTGGTAGTTTTGATAGTTTTGTCGTTTGTAAAACTTTTTATATTGCTTAATGAATAAGATACTGAAAAAATGGGAAACACTTAATAGATAAAGTGGTCTTTTGCTCTGGTGACTTTTTGGTTCCATTCCGAGAAGCTCATTCAGGAGGATAATTTCGATCTTTTTGTTGGGATGTCTACTTTAAGAGGTATTGCGACATCTTGATTCTTGAGTTTCATTTGAATTTATCAATCAATCTTTATATATGTGTTGGAGTTCTATAATAGATCTTATTTGCTCACTTCTACCATTTGGTGTTTTCTTTTGAATGTTTTAAAGTTCTACTTGTGTTTATTCTGTTGTTTCTTTAGGTTAATACAAAATCTTGGTGAATTTGTTGTACAAAAAAGTCCACCATTTGTTTTTTCTTCTGAATGTTATTAAGTTCTACTTATGTTTATTCTGTTGCTTCTTTAGGTTAATGCAGAACCCTGGTGAATTTGTTGTGACTTTTCCAAGAGTTTAGCATGTAGGATTCAGCCATGGTAATTGCTTTGTTGTTGGATTTCACCTTTATGAGAATTTTATTGGTTGTTGAGCTTGTGACTGTGGATTGATACATGCACATTTATGTTTTATATTGGCTATTAGAACTATAAAATAGCAATTGTGCAAAAATTAAGTGAATGTGTCGGTTTAATTGCTTACTTTATATAAGAAAAAGGAAATTTCCATTTCCTTCTGGATAGTTGCACAGCTTGGATAGTGGTTTTAATACACGTAAATGATATGAAAATGATAGGCATGACTTAATGAACATACTTACACATGAAATTTTGGGGCTCAATAGGGGATTGATGAGTTTCACTTCCTCTGTCAGCTGTGTAAATTAATGATGGGTAATTATGAGAATAACAATTTTCTTTTCCTTTTAAATTTGTTCAGGGGGGGAGCAAGAAAGAGGGGATGGGGTAGGACTTCATTGACAAAGTGTTTTGTTTGGATTGGCTGGGGGATGAGCTTATTTAGTTATCATTAGTGAGCAAGGTCTTGCTTATGGTGCTCCTATTTACAAGTATGTTTAAAGGTATTTAAAATGAGTTCTGAAGGAGGATGTTTTATTTGCAAATATCCTTAAAATATATGTGATGTTACCCTGAAACTGGATTTAGGAATGACTGGAATTTATCAATATATATTTATATTACAAACACCAACACAATGAGGAGGGGCATTTTGTATTGGTCTATGTGAATTTACGTACCAATATTGTGTAAGACACAAACTATTACTGAAGTTTTTGTTCTGCTTAAGAGTTATGCTAGGAGTCTATTATTTTATTTGTTCATCTCATCTGGGAAACCATGGCAAGGCATTTACTGTAGCCTTAATTTTAATTCTCATTGATTGCCACGGTCAATTTTTTTGCTGAGCAGGTTTTAATTTTGGTGAAGCTGCAAACTTTGGAACTCCACAGTGGCTTCAAGTAGCTAAAGAAGCTGCAGTTCGTAGAGCTGCTATGAACTATTTTCCAATGCTTTCTCATCAGCAGCTGTTGTACCTTTTGACCATGTCTTTTGTGTCAAGGTCAGATTGTATTTATTTAAGCAATTACTGACTGAAGTTATGTTATAACTGTTATTTGGAAATCTGCACTATGAAAATTTATACTATCATTATTTTTAGGTCAACTGGTGTTGCCTGATTCAGATAGCATATCAACAACAGCAATCCACGTAGCTATTTCTTATTAGTGTGATTTTAAGTTCATAATTTGTAAGGCTTGGTATTGTAATCTAAGGGTGTGTCAATAAATGCAGGGCCAGTGGACTAGATTTAGAGTGAGCAAGGTCTTGCTAATGGTGATCTCATTAACCAGTATGTTTAAAGGTATTAAAATGAGGGTCAGAATATTGCAGGGTGCTTTGTTTATCATTTGAGAATCATAAAAGCTAATTATTTATACTTTTCTCCAAAAATTGGTGTTGAAATTTAATTTTTAGTGCATACTGCATCAATTTTTTTTCTTTCCTTTTTTTGGATAAGCAAATCATGACCTTTAATTGATTTCATTTCATTTTCATTATGCACATTAATATGCAAAGATTTTCTATAGTTTTCTCATGAGTGCTCAAGAAAATGCTTCTGCAGTACTTTATACTTGCCAGTTAATTGTGGAGCACTATCTTTTATGATATTTAGGAGCGTTGATGGTGTTGACACTGAGATTCATTTCATGTGCAATAAATTACAATGATGGATTGTTGAAAGAGGAAGAGTTACGTGAGGCTCATAAGAAATATCGATTAAGTTGCCTTCATTGATTGAATATTTTAGGTATTGCCTCTGTTGCGGCAGTCACTTTGTTGCTTCAGACTATCTTGATCGGACTGAAGGGAATGGGGTATGCATGTGCACCTACATGCTTTTTTTACTTTGAAGTTACTCCAACAAACCCGTAATATCACGCGGGCCTATACGCTAGTAGTTACTAAAATAAACATAGAAATTGAGTAATCTCTTTACCTTCAAATAAATTGTAACATTTTACTGGATGATAAAACTACCAATTAAACTAACAATATAATTACTTAAAAAAAAAAAAAAAGAAACTCATCAATATCATTAATATTGGCCAAAAAAAATTTCAATATCATTAATAAATGATAATATTTATAAGGAGAGTTTATATTGTAAAAAATGCTAATAAATACAATGTTTCAACATTTCAAGCAAAATACTGTTTATAATAAGAGTTAGTATTTGATATATTATCAGTCTAAAATTTTTATTATACAAGTGAGATTAAAAGGGTGATACATATCCTTTAAAATATATTTAAAAAATAAAAAACCGAATTAAATACTAACTTTTATAGTAGTGCTGATATTAAGTAGTATAAAATTTGTTAGATTCGAACTTACAATAATGTTATAAACTATTTAAATAATGATGACAACAAATAGCATAAAATCCTTTTGATTGAAACTCATAAGTTTTATTTTATATATAAATTTAATTATTATTTTATTTTAATAAATAAATATTCATGTATTTAATCTTTAATTCTACCATTAAAATAATCTAAAATAAAAAGTTAATGTTAGCTAAAATAAAATAAAAAAGATTGCTAGTAATTTGATAAAATTGATTAGCCTAACTTAATAGGCTGGTTTATATCCAAATATAATCAATTTGATAAAATATATTGATCATTTTTATTGGAATTGTTAATAAGAACAACAACAACAACAATTATTATTATATAAATTTTAAAATAATAATTTAAAGATATAATGAATAACATTGTTCATTTTACATCAGTTTAAAAAATGTTTTATATATGTACTTTTATGCATTATATAGATATAAATAAATTTAAATTCTTTTTATAATATTTTTGTACAAATATTGTTACTATAAAAAATAAGAATTTAAAGAAGCGATTAAAATATAAAAAATAAAAATATTAAGTGTTTAAAAATGAATTAAAAAACATTATTTTGAGACATTAAAAAAGTAAATTAAAAAAAGGAGACGTATGGAATAATAACTCATATATTAAAAAAGAAAAAAAAAAAGATTTTCGTATTCATATACCATTATGGTCATATAGTTGGACCTGCATTGCTGCTTTTATTGTTGACACAGTTTCCACGTGGATGGAGTGGACGCTTTTATACACCTAGTTAGTACCTAACAGATATAAAAAAAAAAAAAAATTAAAAGGCCCCCACAAGTCTAGAATCTCATGCATGTCGTGTCATGTAATTTTCATTTATAATTCAACTTCCGCCTCTTTTTTCTTTACAACTAAAACATTCTTCTTCTATATATATATATTCTTTTAACAGAAACTCAACAAAAGAACCCAAAAAAACTGTCTTCTCATTTCAAGTTAAAGAAAATGTCGAGAGCTACCATTGAGCTGGATTTCTTTGGAAGGGAGAAAGACAACTCCGGCGAATCTCAGTTCCAGAAATTCCTCGATCACCGTCGAAATTTCCGAGGTGCGTTTTAATCTACTTTACTTTTTTTTATTGTTCTTTTGGGTCCCTTTTTAGTGGATGACTGTGTTTGAGAAAAGTTGGTGGTTAATCTTATCAGGTATGCAAGGCGCCATTTCGAATATGAATCCTGAGGTTATCGAATCCGTGATTGCATCTGGTTTGACGAACCAGAGTCAGGATAATGTGAATCCGATCGATTTGAACAAGTCCTTTCCGGTGCCTTGGAGTCCTCAAGAATCTCAGAATCTGTTTCCTACTGTACCCCTTCTTAGCCCTGCTGCTAGGTACTCACTCAATTCCTTTAAGGGCTAATCTTAAAATCGATTTAAATTATAAATCATCTATTATTCAGGGTTACTTCTGAGAATGGTCCTGAAACAGCTCCTTTGACAATTTTCTACAATGGAACCGTTTGCATATTCAATGTAGCTCGAGATAAGGTTGGTTTGTTTAATCATTATCTAATATCCGTTTGTTTATAATCTTTGAAAAAACTTAAATTTAATTATCCCCAAAAAATAAAAAATATTTTGTTTTTAAAATCAATTTGTATTAAATTTTGACTAGGCGGAATGCATCTTGAAATTTGCGGTTGAAGGAAACTCCAAAAATGTTGAATCAACAGACTCAAAAGTTGCAAATCCTGCAAGCGATCAACAACAGCATCTCGAAACTCTTAGTGGAGGTCAGTGTCTGTTTTTCCACCTTTTGCCTTTTCTTTAATAGTTTATATATATATATAAATTCATGTTGAACTTGCTTAAAGTAAGCTATTTTTCGGATTTTTATGCAAATTTGCCAATTGCTAGGAGAAAGTCTTTGCGGAGATTTTTGGAAAAGCGCAAAGAGAGGTAATATATTTATATATATATATATATATATTTTGAGTTATATACTATCATTAACCGAATCATATTATTTTATTAATAAATAAATATTAATATACAAAATTTAATCTTATTTAAAAAATTTACTTATTAATAAAGTTCATAATATATAAAATTTTATATACTAACAATCTATTAAATAAAAACTCTTTTTTTTTAATCTTTTATTAGTTGTAATTTTTAATTATAGTTTTTGGATTGATTTTATGTGTTGCGGAAAAAATCCATATATAAAAGGGTTGCAAATTGCATTAGAAAAATTTCAGGCATTGAGTCAAGTAAAGCAAAAGAAGATGCAGCAAATATCACTTAAAAGATAATTTTGCTTGCTTCCAATTATGCACATGGAAATTGCAAAGAGTCGGCAAATCACAAATGGTCAAATGATGTTTTTGTTGATCCGTGTCTTCGAAAGTTCTAAGCCATCATTTGAAAAAAAAAGTTTTATTTTTGAGATTGAGGTGGTGAAATTGATTTTAATGAGATTAAAAATGATAATAAAGATGAAATTGATTATTATAACGATGGGATTGAAATGAATGATATCGAGATAAATTATAAGAAGATAAAAAATGATTATTAAAAATATTAAATTAAAAATTACATGTAATAAAATTTTAAATTATTTTATATTTTTAAAATTAATAAATTATTAAAAATTTATTAAATTATTTTATATCAAATAATAATTTATTATTAAATAATTAAAAATAATAATATATTAAATAATATTTTTTATTATATTAAACTAACTAAATTATTTCTTAAAAATTAATCAAATTATTTTAAAATTTTTAAGCAAAAATTAAAATGAAAATAAAAAGGTAGAATGTTAAATATTTGTCTTTATAATATAATTTAAAGGATAAAAATGTAAAAAAAAAATGGTGCGTTTCTTAACTGCACCTAAAAACTTTAGTGAAAAAAAAAACTGTTAATCTCACCGAGCGTTGAGATCCAAATGACATTTTGGTGCTATTCACACAATTCTTCATGCAAAAAGCAATCACACTGAGAGTACATTTACTTTGAAACTAGCTCTTGAATCGCCAAAATAATGCACGAAAGGTATCAAAAAAAAAAAAAAAGAAAAGCATGCGGTACTGAATAGGGAGGCACACTGTTCATGATTATGTCCAATTTTTTTAGTTTTTCCTAGCCAAAAGTTTCCCTCATTTCTTGATTTGTCAAATATCAACAAAGGCAAACATTTAATTTGTGGACCCAAATTATGGGAAAAGTAATAGAAATTTTCACAAAATTTTAAGTAATAAAAAAGATCTTTTTTTTTTTAAATCATAAATGAACATTATTTTTTGTTATACTTGAAATTATTAAAAATGTTAATATCTGCCAAATTATAACACATTTTTTTTTTAATATTTTCAGGTTGACTACTAGATTCCCTTACGCTTGCTAGTGGCTAGACCTAGGAAAACGCGTTTTGGGACAGAGGGCACGACCCCATCATTCCGAGCCTACGTAGAGGATATTAAAATTCCTGACGGAAAGATAGTTTATAGATGTGCCTGTCCAACTTGATGGCATTAGGGTGATTGAGCTAATTTTAATAGCTCTTTCTCATCGGGTTTTGACAGAATACAAACAGAAAATATATAGAATGGCTAATTGTGGGGACGGTCTTCGAAGTATGGTGTTGAGAGGCAAACGTTTATGGTGAAGCGGTCGATGCCTGCTTCCCCTTCACTTTCCTAATGCTTTTCTCTACATGGGATTTGAAGCCATTGTTTTAGTTTATATGGTTTTGGACTACTGATTTTAAATCACATGTTGTATACTGACCTATCTTTGGAAAAAGATACCTTTTTCATTACTTATGTATTTATTTATAGATTTATATTTAATATTGATAGTGTATATATTTTATAAATTATTTTTGAATTAGATAATTTTATTTCATTGATGAAATAAATCATATTATGATAATTTATTAATGAATAAATTTTTTTAAAAAAATTATTATGTTTTTATTTTAAAAATTAATATTCATTCATTAATTAAATTGTATAATTTGATTTATTGATAATATATATGGTAATTATGTATCAAATATAAAATTTTTATTTATGTTAGTAGTGCTATTATTAAATTGTAATTCCAATATAAGCATGTATTATTATTGATTTCTACATCGTTGTTGTTTCTCGGATGCTGCGTGTATGTTCCACTCGCAAAACATAAACTTGATTGGTACACCGAAATTGGCACGTGTATTGAAAATGTGCGTTAATTTGTAGTAAAAATTAAATTGTCAAATGCGTCCCTTTATGGAGAATTACAAAATGGAGTAATCCACTAAAAGTATTGATTAATTGGTATTATAATAAAAATAATTATTGAGAAAATATCAAAATTTAAAAATGATAAAGAGGAAATGATAAGACTTTTATGAACTCAATATTTAATGGGTAAATCATAATAAGATGAATTATAGTATGTATATATATAACAAATATAAATCATGTTTGAGATATAAGATAGTGGATAGAATATGATGATAATTATTTTATATTATATTTGATTTTTATCTAATGCAAGGAAGATTAATTATTTTTTTAGTATATGATAATTCAATCCTCTTAAAATGATGAGGACTATTTTAATCAATAGGATTGAACTTACATTTCTATTATATCCTTAAAATTTATAACAATAGTTTAAATTATATAAATTTTAAAAAAAGATAATTTTGATCAATAAATTAAATTATTATATCATAACCTTACCCACATTAAATGTAAAATAAGATGATATTATTTAATATAATTCTATTTATAATATTATATTATCCTATTCTATCATAATTTTATGTACTAAACACACTCATTATATATTTAATAAATAAATATGTACAATTAAGAAATAATATACGTACATCTATAAAAGTTTAAAACTTATGTTTATTAATGAACAAAATAAGAAAAAGGTATTAAAATTTTCAAAATATGTATAGCTATAAATGTTTTTTTCATATGGTTTTAGATAAAAGATTATGTAAAGAACAACAATGTCTATTTAAATTGAGAATATAAATTTTACTATGTGTACATAGTTTAAATTTATTGTACATATTTTTCTATTAAATGTACAAATCTGTTTTTTTTTTTTTTACATTCCATGTTTAAATGTATTTTTTATAAAAATTTCTTGTTAGTTTGTATTTTGAGGGATACTTAAATTTAAGGGCAAAATGCAATTATAGCTCCAAACCATTCATTTGAATTTCATTTTGATTCCTAAACTTTAAATTATTTAATGATAGTCTCCGACTTTTAAAATTAGTGTCGATACTATCCTCTCATCAAATTTTGCATAAAAATAAGAGAGAATTGCAACATAGAATAATAGATCCAAGATTATTACTCTTTGCTACCATTCTAAAATGTATTTATAAAAAAATAAATAAAATTGTTAAAATTTTTAAAAATGAAACAAAACTATCATTTTTGCTCTTAATTTTCAAAATTCAACTTAAAATTAGGGACAAAATGAAACTTTTGTTTCCTTAGTAATTTTAAAATTTTATTTTCTTTCTAATAAATACATTTTTGGTGATGGCAAAAACTAATAGTTTTGAATCCACCATGATTTTATTTCTTTTTTTTTTAGTTTTACTTTTTCAAAATTTATTTCCCTTGTATTTATAAATTTTGATCAAAGAATATAAAATTAAATCTTATAAAAAAATCAAACTAGATTAAAAAAAAAGAATGAAATGGAACATGTCCAACTAATTTTTTAACAGTTAACTAAACAAAAATAATTAATAATTAATAATCCTAGGAAATACTTTTTGTAAATTGTTACAAGTATAATTTGAAACTCTCTAAAATTACGCCAACTTAACGCAATTAACTAATGTACTACTATATCTCTTGGTGAAATATTTTATTAGAAGTAATTCATTCAAGATCACTTACCAAATGAGCATAATTTTATTATGGTTTAAGTTTAAAATTAAAGTTAGAATGTAAATTTTATTAATTAAGTAATTTAGTATTTAGAAGCTTTTTATATTTTTTTTGAAAAAAATAAATGTCAGCCACCCGACGTTCAAAATTATTTAGGTCTGTTTCATTTCTTTCTCTTTTGTTAAAAATAATTTCTAACTTTATTTTAAGAGGATTTAATTTTATATTTTCATTAAAATTTATAAATATTGGTAAACTAAAGAAAATAAAATCAGGATAATTGACTCAGAATTATTACTCTTTGCTATCATATCAAAATGTATTGATTAAAAAGGAAATAAAATTTTTATAATTATTATGAAAAAAGGTAAATTACCATTTTGTCAATGATTTTAAGTTAGAATTTTTAAAATCAATGCCAAAATGGTAGTTTTGTTTTATCCTAAAAAATTTTAAAAGTTTTATTTAATTTTTAATAAATACATTTTAGTATGGTACAAAAGTAATAATTTTGAATGTAATATCTTAAATTGTAATTCTCTCTTATTTATGCAAGAGAACTATATTGACACTATTTTAAAAATTTTGAGTCTGTGAAGGAATAATTTAAAATTTAAGAATCAAAATGAAACTCAAATGAAAGGTTTGAGATTACAAATACAATTTGCCCTTAAATTTAAAGTTAAGGACCATAATTTTTTTAATATAAAGTAGTGATAGAAATAAACTATCAAACACCATCTTTAAATATATATCAATTACTGATGTACATATGTTTTAAAATGATTTTGCATATTTTTTATTAAATGTGCATATATTTTGTCTTGTCTGCACATAAGATAATTACATGTAATTATAATGGTATACTCGTTGAAATTAAGGGTATGAAAGTTATTGTCTTTTTCACTTTATCAATTTTCCATTTTAATATTTCTTTTTTATAAATTATTTTTAATTATGATATCAACAAATAAATATTTTTGATGGATTACCTCTTTTTCAAATTTCTCTTTTATTTTTTTATTCATTAGATGGG